TTCCTCTAAATGGTGGATGGTAGCTACGTTAGTGTGTACTCCGCGGAGACCAACTTTCAGCACGCCATTAACCTTTAACCGAAACCATGGTGTTTCCAGTGTTTAAGAGACTCCTTGAGGATAAATAGTGAAGTAAACAAATCCTCCGCTAGGGCCATCGATCTGGATTTAGATTACAATGCCCTAGTGTTGATATCTTTGGTTCAAGATGCCTTCACACCACTAGACCAGTCGCATCGACCACGCCTTAGTTTGAGCCTCAACAGTGTCGGCATTCAACGTATGATGAGAAGGAAATAGGCGAATTGTCATTAAGGCATCCAAGTGAAAAATTAAATACCACTCATACAGCCTAATTTTTGGGTCGTTTTCATTTATCACAACAAGAATTAATATGTTCGAATGGAAGTGCACATGCGCTTCTACTTTATCTCTGTTTTGTTTCCCACGGGCAAAGGTAGCCCATGATTATAGGCATTTCAACTGATCTTACGCACACAAGTACAAGTAAGTTTATCAGGTAGTCTGTCATCTTGCGATGCATTCACCAATAGAACCAACACAGTAATGCTGATAGAAGTTCTTATTTAGATTTTACCATCCAAAGTGAGGAGCGTTTCTACAGCCATGAAATGTGCTGGACCATAAACATGTTAGGTGCGTCATATTTTCGCAAAACGATTGCCTAATTCAATAAGGTAGCTATTTGCAGACAATCTTTTACCGACCACATCGTTATTACACAACTCAAATGAGCCAGAAATTGATAGTATGTGTTCTTCATACATCTCGAGAGCTACTTCATCTAATGACTTCCTTACCCTGTTCCGTTTTATGTGGTTATTGTACTAGATAGTACCTGCCCTCTCAGTCTATCCAGTCCATTACTGCCTTTGTATAATACAGTCTGCTCTTATATTAGAAACATCCCATTTTAGCCTTGAGATGTTGTGGGTTGTAAGATCTTACTACCAGATAGTCAAAATCGTTTTATTTACTGGGAAATTATTTACT